CTTAGGAGGGAATCGTTTCAGGCTTCCGGGCTGTACTTGGACATTTTCTGTTGTAACCCTAGGGATCCAAGTATACAAATAATACCTACATTGGGCCCTAAAGTCTGTAAATAATACCTACATTGGGCCCTAAAGTCTGTAAATATTACCTACATTGGGCTATTTGGATCCCTAGGGCAAGATCATTGCCACCATCGAGCTTCTCTTGGCTTCGCTGACCCGTGAGACTGCCGTGGCCTCCCAGGCCTTGCACGTAGTTGCTGCCAATCACGCTAAGCAAACGGTATCATGATAAGAGTTGTCCTTGTCCAACGTTATCCAGTTAATGGGTTACCCCTTCCCGTGCGCGAAGTAATCTGCTCGAGCAAACAGAGGGTGCCCGCGGCTTCCAAGACCTCCAGCCAAAGAATAGTGCTCCTTAAAGTGCAGGACATTAAGATATGTTATGATTACCTTACCATTATTGGGGTTACTAGTACTCGTACTATTATTTGTACTTTGTATTCTCTTTATTACCACTATTGATATTGTTATCACTATGACTATTAAGGAAGCATGGTCTTTTGCGGCAGGTGCTGGCGGTCAGCTCCTCACCCACCAGCCAGCTCATCGCCAAGGCCTTGGACTTGACGTGCGCCGTCCTTGACGCTTCGCCTCAGAGCATAGCAAGCTTTTCGTACAGGATTTAGGGTTTAAGGTTCAGGGGTATGGGGTTTAGGGTTTGAAAGTTTAGGGTTCAGGGGTGTGGGGTTGTGCGAACCAGCACATCTCTTCGTATGTGCATTTTGCTTCGAGGGCCGGTGTTGCTTGCCGTGTGTTTTGCTGGTCGCGAGTTCTGTTGCCACAAGACAGGATCCTGCACAATGTGTGGAAAAAGGGAGAAGAATGTGGAAATTGACATGGAAACTCAAAGTATGGTTTGGGACCTTCAGCCCTTAACCCAGATAGATGTACTTTATACTTTCGAGGATCCCGGGCCAAAGTACTACCACAAAGACCATTCAGACTGTGGTAGTTGAGGCCGAGAACCCAATTCATTATTTGGGTACTTGGACCCTCAGGGTTTGGAATTTAGCGGTACTTGTTTTTGGGCGTGAAGAGGAAGCACACCAAGCTGATTCCCTTCACGCTTCTGCAGAAACTAGACAAAAGCAGGCCTTAGCTACGGAAGAACCTACTGCTCCCAGCCAGATTGTGCAGTGTAACTACCTGGACAAGATCCTGCAGAGCCCGTGCTTCCCTCGCTGTTTGTGTATATAAACAAGTGTAGCCATATGCAGCAGCATATGAAACCCTTCTCTTCTCAGGCCGTGTTGGGGTCGGCTGCCTTGGCATTTTCTGCGCAGTTGCGGCGGTGGCTGGAGCTGCTGACCGGCTTGTGCCTGTGCTTTGTTCACCAAAACCCATCAATTTGTCAGTGTCGTTCAGATTATTGAAACGAGAGGCGGGCCCCAGAAAAAATCCCCAAAGGTGCACGCCGCCAGTCTCCAGCAAGGTCAGCAACCTATAAGGCAAACCATTCAAAATCACGTGTATAAACCAGACAAAGGCAGCGTCAGTCTGTGTTTGTGCGCAGGCCAGCAGTAGTTTCTGATATATTTCGTGAGGTTCAGATAGCGCCAGGATGGGTTTCTTGCTGAGCTGAGGTCTCCGAAGACGCATGTGAGCCACTGCAAAGTGGTGCTGAGCTTCGTTTTGAACGTGGAGAGGAGCCGAGGGCCTGGGTGGAAGGGGCTGCACAGTGGAGGGGAGCCTCGATATTAAGACGCGTCATAGATTTGCCAAGTATACAGGACCTCCTGCTTGACCATGTGGGAAGCGGTATGGAAGCAGAAAGTGGCTAAAGCGTATGATGTTCGTTGCTTAGATGAGGCCAGTGTTGCTGATGGTCGCAGGACCTTGAAATGCCTCAAACTGAACGTCGAGAAAGCGGGTAGATGTTGAAGAACGGCACACTTCCCCCTGTGCCTTCATTCCGTTCAAAGGAGCGCCCCAGCTGTTTTGCTCCGCAAGCCTTTGCTCCAGCGGCTGTGCCGCTATTCGCTTGAGGTGGGCAGTCTTACACTTTCGGGATTTCCCTTTTGCGAAGGGGTCACGTTACTCAAAGCTAGGAGTGGAGCCATGCTCTGTAGAGTTTGCACAGCATAAGGCCAACAATGCTGTTGCGACGTTTTCTGATTGTAGACTGTGCTGCCCCTGCAGGCTATGCAGCACGAAATAGGGCTGACAGGCCGGGTTGCGGGCCAAAGTGTTCGCACATCGCGGAAGCGGAAGGCAGAAGCCTTGCAGGAGGCCTCTGATTTCACGCAGCCTTTGTTTCCATTGGCCTGTCAGACGCTGGCGCGTTTAGTGGAGAGAGGCGCCTCTCTCCTTGATCAAGCGCTAGTTGCCAACATTTGCGAGCAGATTGTGCATTGCGTTTGGCACGGCCTTCTGCGCCCGCCGGGCACGACCAGCAAAGAGCTGGACAAGTCTCTAGTCTACAAGCAAATCTGCCGAAGTCCGGAGGCTGCCATGGGGCTTCTGGATCTGATGAGAGTGCTGATCGAGCCCAGGCAGCTGGGAGCAAGGCCACTGGCTCCCAGCTTGCTTCATGCCTTTGCGGCAATCGTCTCAACCTTGCAATGTGCCTTTGAAAGGCATGCCTTGCAAAGGCTAAGCGATGAGTCAACTGTTTCAGGGATTTGTTCGAAGCTGACGGAGCTGGCAGACGCCATCCGCTTCGACAAGCTTGAGCGCCCTGCGGAGAGCAAAGGCATCAGGGTGTTCTTTTCCAGGGCCAAGATGTAAAGAGATGTAGGAGTTATGCAGGGGGTGTAATAGGAGTTTTCTACTGATTCTACGCGGGTTTATAGAGGGGGTCAAGCAAAGGCGAGGCCTACAGATGCCTACAGGCAACCATGGTTGCGAGTTTTTGTTATGCTTTCCTATAGGCGTCCCTCCTACACCCATCCCTAAACCCTAAACCCTTAACCCTAAACCCTAAACCCCCAACCCTAAAACCAAAACAAAACCCTAAACCCCTGACAGGCATCTCCATCACCTGGCCAGAAACCTTGCCTGGAACACAGCCTCTACCGGCTCAAGAGGACACAGCAGGGCACATGGAAATTATGCACTAGGGGGATACTGTAGGAGCAGTATGGGAGCTTCGAAGGAAACATGTAAGGTCCGTGTAGGGAGTAGATGAAGTTCAGATAGGGAGTAGTTATGGATAGTAGAAGTTATTTGCTCGCTTGCCCCGAATTGTCAGCATCGTCCTCAGTAGTGAAGCTGCCTGGAAAGAACGTGACGGAGCTGATTAACTACTCGTGCTGTCAGTGGTGTTTATTTCATCTTGGCCCCGATGTGGTAGAGTGATAGTTGATGCTATCAAGCAGAAAGGCTGAACAGATTTGCAGCTTAAAATCTCAGCCACCTCACCGAAACATGTTTTGAGGTGCCTGCGGATACAGTAGCTTGATTTCAGGGATGGGCAGGCTGAAGTTGAGATTGCTGATAAAGCGCTATGCCCTGCATGTGCCCCCCCCCCCCCCTGTTTGCAGTCATAAGGGAGCTGCCCAAAAGGATTGGGTTCCAGAGACGCCCTCCCACGACGGAGGGTTTGCAACAGAAAGACCACTCATGCGACAGACCCCCTGCAGACCCCGCAACAAACCCTCCCTACACTTGAGGCCCGTGCAAAAAGGTTTTGTAACAAAGGGCAGCGACAAAGGTTGAGGGGGGGACCGGTGACAAAGGAAGATATCGGCCCTCACCCATATGGTACCTTCTTGGAGGGCTCCTAGAAAAAAGATTATCGCATTTTTAGGTCTATATTGGGGTTCCCCTTCTTAATGGAAGAACGACTCTGAGCTCGGCTTCGGGTTCAGGCAGGCACCTCAGTGAGTCCTGGTTTCAGGGTCTTGTTCCTGCGAGAAAGGATTGTAATGGGATCCCAAGGGTAGTAGGAATATAGCAAGCATGTAGGGGCCCTGGCAGGTATATTCCTACCGTCTTCTTACTACTCTTGGGCTTCGCTGTTGGGGCTCCGCATTACAGCCCTTTTATGCGAGGTGGGCAGTAGCGGCATTTTTTGCCTGGGTGATGGCATCATAGAGAATGCTGCATTTACAAAGGTAGCCAGCTAATTGATTACGTGCTAGTTTGACGAGTTACCTTTCTGCTTGAACAAGGTGTGCCCACAAATTGAGCTGTCAGAAGCAGCGAATTCAAGGTGCGAGATTCGAAGTGTTCCAGTTTGCGCAGCGAGCGGTTGAACCCGAAAAAGTAGTTTAGTTGATCTAGTACATGAAAAAACGATTGTATTTCCGGAGTTCGACCCCTCTAGTGCGCCTTTGCCATCCGCGACTACCGGCAGATAGGCCTCCCGTTCCAAGAAAATCCCGCAAGTGCTTTGGAACACCCCAAGAAACATTCAAGTCACGGGGTTGCCTGCATAGTATGCAGTGATTCAGGGTTACATAACCCCAATATATTCCCTATAATCCCTATATAAACCCTATGTAATCCCTATAATCCTTATTTTAGCCCTATTTTCTCCCTATAATCCCTATAGCTGGCTACCACCAGGAAGAGCCAAAGGAGCCGGAACCAAGCGTCTCCGTGCCCGAGACGGCGCGGACGGAGGAGCTCCCGCAGGCCGAGCCGGTCGAGTCAAGGGCTACCACAGAATTCTCGGAAGCCAGGGAGGTTGCTGGATGGAAGCTATATAGGGATAGTGGAAAAGAAAATGGAAACTCTAGGGATTATAGGGATTATCTAGGGTTTATATAGGGATTGTAGGGAATATATTCAGGGTTATATAAGATAATGGAAAAGAAAATGGAAACTACTATAGTCTATTGGGGTTATATATAGGGAGAATGGAAAATGGAAACTAACAATAGTCTCTTGGGGTTATATATAGGGAGAATGGAAAAGAAAACGGAAATTACTATTCAGGGTT